CTGCCAGAGCTCTGCATTCCCCAGCTCAGAAACGCTGCTGGACCCCTCAGGAACCTGGCACCACACCAAGGGACCTGAAAGTGTCACTGCCCCCGTGCCACTGCACACCAACAAGAGTCCATAAACACCTGCAGGCGGTTCCCTTGATGCCTTGAGCTTTAGCTTTTCTATTTTTCAGACCCTGCACTGCATTAGTGTGAAGCTCTGAACTCCATACAGAGTGTTGGGAAGCTCTCTTCAGTTTGGTCAGACAGAACAATCCTTCCAGGCCTGAGAGCCAAGGACACCATCACAGCCCAAATAAATATAAACAAAAGTAAATTAGAGGGAAGCAAACTGAGGCAATGTGACTTCATTACCTGAAGCTGTAATTGCGGAATGAACCTCTGATATGCAAATAGGCCAAACTTATATCAACCCAAAAAACTCATGTCCATCTTGGGTGTAGCCTCTGCCAGGCTCCTGCACTGCCCAAGGTGTGCCTGTTAAAGGCCTTTAATAAACACTTTTTTATTTTAACTCTGTCTGGCATCTGCTCTAGGTTGTCGCTGTAGGACATGAAATAACACAACGCGCACAAGCAGCTCTTCCATGGTTAAAAGAGAATTTTTAATTTCTGACTCCAACATTTATAGATTTCCAAAAGTGAGTGTGAATTGGAGGGTGACAGTGCCACCTCTCCAATGACACTGGACAAACCAATAGTCCATCAAATTTCTCCTACTCCATAAAAGAATGTATAAGTTTTTACATAAAGTGCGCGAGAAAGTTCATTACAAGAATGTAAAAAAAATCTGAAAAAGTCAGGGCGACACTAGGTAGCCATTCCAGGCATCACCCTGCTCACTGCAACTGAATCCCAGGTCACCTCAAAGGAGAAGGGCTGGGTGAGTTCTCCAGGAGACACCATCCCTCTGTCCTTCATGGCTCACCTGAGCTAGTCAACAGCAGCAGCAAGACATTCGTCCTCTCAGCCTGCCTTCAAATCCCCACCTTGCAAATGTGTACAGGAGATGAAAAGGCTCCAGTGAAGCCTTTCATCTTCATGGATCAGCACTTCCCAGAGGGTCTGCCACTCAAAATGCCCTCCCCAATACCTGTTTGGCCTGCCCCTGGCATCCTTCCCCAGACATTTCAATTGATGTCACTGATCTTGGCTCAGCAAATAATCCTTCTAATCACTGACAAGAACAGAGGCGGCTGCTCAGCGTTGCTTGGCCATGGTGAGGGGGGTACACAGCAAGAAAGCAGCACTCTAGAAAGTGAGTTTGAAACTATGGCTGACCACACACAGGCAGCAGCTGCCATGGACCAGGAGGGGACACGTTTTAAAATAAGGGCTGCCATTTTGGTCTCTCATGACTGGGAGAAGGTTGCCACTGTACCTATGAGCATCCTGCAGCTTGGCATGGCACAGGATCTGGGAATGGCCCTCAGGGAGCTGGGGGTTGCAGACATCTTTTATGAAAAATCCTTTCATTAAGATTTTTCCTCCTGAGAAGCTGACAGGCCTCAGGAACAAAATGTAAACATTGATTATCTGCTGTTGTGGAATGCAACAGATGCATCTTTGATTGGCCCATGTTAGATATTTGTAATTAATGACCAATCACAGCCCAGCTAGCTCGGACAGAGAGCTGAGCCACAAGCCTTTGTTATCATTCTTTGCTATTCTATTCTTAGCCAGCCTTCTGATGAAATCCTTTCTTCTATTCTCTTAGTATAGTTTTAATATAATATATATCATAAAATAATAAATCAAGCCTTCTGAAACATGGAGTCAGATCCTCATCTCTTCCCTCATCCAAGAACCCCTGTGAACACCATCACAGGGGAGCATCAGCTTTGGGTGTCAGAACACAGGAACTGGGAATGGCCCTCAGGGAGCTGGAGGAGCTTTGGCTGTCAGAACACACATGGCATCTGCAGACAGTGCAGAGTGTTCCGTGTGTCAGAGTGTCTGGGAGCACAGTCTGTCTGTCTGTCCCAGCAGAAGGACATCACTGTGCTGCCTCCTCAGAGAGCCCTGTGTCCTCCAGGACAGGGATGTCACCACATCTCCACTTTGGGAACACGGCTCCCATGGGAGTGAAGGCAAGGAGTGCTTGTGGATGGAGCTGGATTGTTCCACAGCTCCACAGCCAGCTGGACTCCTGTGGCAAGCAGCTTTTGGAAGCCTATGCAATGCCTGGTCAGTGACAGCACTTGTTCCCCACCAGAGGCAGCCAGCAGGCGCCAGGAGTCCCAGGGAAAGGCCTGGGAGAGCCAGGGGCTCTCAGCCTGCCCAGCCCCAGCACCAGGGCCATTGTTCCCAAAAGGATGTCTGAGGATTAATTAATTATCCTACAAGGGGTAGTAAGTAATAACACTCCTTGTAGAACAATAGAAGCTATTTGGTCGCCATGACAACCCAGCTTCACTTGTGTGCCTTTAATTTATTCATTGCACAGTTCCTTTCCCAAGCACACATGATGCCAAAAAAATGCCTTGTTTTTCTTGCCAGTATCCATGTCCAGAGCAGGGGTAAAACACAGCCCTTTCCCCGGGGCATCTGTCACACAGAAGAATGATGCACATAAAATCCCTTCAGCCTGGAACTCTTCTGCTCCCTAAATGTTTGTTCTTTAAGATGATTCTGATTTTAACCCCTTCTTGAAGCTGCCTCACCACAATGCTCAGAGATCTAGATCCTGAATAAGTTCTCACCTACAGCCACCTCATCTCCCATCCCCAAACCTTTCCATACCCTCTCCCCCTGCCTCAATCTATGTAGAAAAGATGAGCAAGACATCTTTCTTGTCAAACAGAGAGCCAGGAGGGATAATCAAGGTCTAGAAGGGACATTCCTTCATCTACAGGAGCATGGCATGGACAGTGGTGCCCAGCCTGACCACAGCCATGCCACCACCATCAAAGCACTCAGTGTCCATCCCTGTGCTGCTCAAACTCTGCAGGATCCACAGCAGCACTTTCCAACCCTTGCCATGTAAATGTGGTGCTCTCCTCTCTGCTGTGAGCCCCTGCTCTCAGCTACTGGACACAGTACTTGTTCAGCCCCTGTAGCCCATGGACACATCTCCAGCAGGAGGTTCATCCTGCACCAGCCCCTGCAGGGCTCAGCTGTCTTCACAGAATGGTCTGGGTTGCAAAGAACCTTAAAGATCACTTTGTTCCAGCCCTCTGCCATGGGCAGGGACACCTTCCACTGTTCCAGGCTGCTCAGAGCCCCATCCAACCTGGCTTGGACACTGCCAGGGATCCAGGGGCAGCCACAGCTCCTCTGGGCACCCTGTGCCAGGGCCTGCCCACCCTCACAGGGGAAAATATTTTCCTAAGATCCAATGTAAACCTACTCTCTTGGTCTGAATCCATTCCCCCTTGTCCTGTCACTCCAGCCCTTGTAAAAATTTCTCTCCACCTTTCTTGTGGGCTCCCTTCAGGAACTGGAAGGCCACCCCTAAGCTGGTTTTTTGCAGGTTGTGCAATCCCAGCTGTGCCAGCCTTTCCTCCCAGCAGAGCTGCTCCATCCCTCTGATCCCTGGTGCCTGCTCTGGACTGCTTCCAGCAGCTCCAGCTCCTTCCTCTGCTGGGGCAGAGCTGCTCAGGCTCACAGGGGCAGTGGCTACAGATGAGAACCAAACCCTCACCCCCTCCCAGTTATGTCTGTGCAAGTCTTGGTCTTAAGGCACAAGTGCAGAGCCCAGCTGTCCATCCTGGCTCTAGCCGGAGGGTGACATTTGCTCCAGCACCCCACAACACCCAGGTCCAAGCTGAGCCTGGGGGAGGACATGATTCAAAGTTGAGTTGTGGCCTGACAGGCAAGATAGATGGATCTAGGTTAAGCCATCTGGCCCTGCTAAACTGAGCCTAAACTCAGGCACAGCTGCTCAGTGCCTCTGAACCCAAATCTAGGGCCACAGCCACTGCCCAGTGTCACTGTCATTGGGGTGAGGTGCCACAGGTCATGCAGAGAATTCAGGTGAGGTGGGATGGTGGCAGAGTCAGCAAAAGGAACATTCACTCAGGAACATCAAGGTTATGGCTGGCTCTTCCGCCTGGTCATTCCAACACAAATTCAGGCTTTTCAGGCAGCTTGGGAACAAAACCAACTGGTCAGGTTGTGTCACCTCCCTCCTCAGAGCTGGTGGGCCAGGGAAACAGGGCAGGAGAGGCCAGAGACAGAGAAATGGGACAGGAGAAGGGGCAGAGTGGGATTTTAATTGACCTGAACTGCAAGAGCTCTAAAGGGGCCCAGGATCCTCCTGCACAGGCCAGGAAGGGAGGAACTGGGCAGGAGCTGCCAGGAGGCTCCCACCAGCCTCCCCCTGCACTCAGCCCCTGGGAAAGGAGCAGAGTCTGGAGGGAAAAGCCTCTGGACAGGAGGGAGAAAGGCAAGTTTAGGCAATTACAACACAATCTATGTCCCCTTCTGGGTGCTGAGGGTTTCTGAGGGACAGTCCTAGATATGAACATAAACCATGACCAAAGTAATCATCAAATTTCACATATTTCACCCCAAACCATCGCTACCTGAGCAGATAATTTCATTTATTTTTGTTGTTCACAGTTATATGAAAAGCTCCAATCTATCAATGCCACCCAAACCCAGATTTCCATTAGAAGCCTCTCTTTCCAGCACAGATCTCCAAGGAAATGTTGAATTACCACCAGCAAATGAAAACTCACTGTTTTTAGCTTGGCAGGGACAGACTGACCATAAAGCCACCTTTGTATCAACCAAAAAAATACAATTCACATTTACTTTTTTAAGGCATAACGGGGAGATGTCTCTGCCACCAGCAGAGAAGGTGAAAAGAATCTACTCTGGATGAGATGAGATGAGATGGCACAAGCTCCAGAGGTGCCAGCAGAGATCCAGATGCCTCCAAGAAAACATTGCCTTGGAAGTAAATCTCAGTCAGAAAATGAAAGAACATTTTATAGTTGTTTTTTTCCCCCTTTCTTTCTTTTTTTATTTTTCGCTTTCTTTCCAAACTTACCATGTTGACTTCAGAGATCTGGTCAATGCTGGAGATGTGGATGCTCATTCCCACTGTGACAGGGTTACCTGGAACACAAATAGGCAGGGTTAGGACCACATTCAAGTCCTCCTCTCTTATCTACAATATAAGAATTGCCTAGAAATGCATGGATTTGATTTTAATCAGCCCCACATTCCCTGAGTATCATGGAATTGAATGTGCTCAAGTGATTTGATTTCTCACTCCCAGACTTACAGACTCACCCCAAGGAGCAGTGCAGCCTAAGCTTGATTTTGTTTTTTAATTCTGGAAGTTAATTACCCCCTAGTAACACAATTATCTCTGGTTATTCCAAATAATCCCTTCAGAGACCATCAGCAGGCTCCTTGTGGGCTCGCACAGGGTGGTCCTGATTGACCACACAAAGAACTCAGCACCCAAGGCCATGCAAGCCACGGGCAGGAAACTTGCTCCAGCTCACTCCTCCATCACTCAGCTGGCTCTGAGTACTCAGCCTGAAAGTCCCAAGTGAGTTTTAACACCCAAGGCACCAGACAAGTACAGGAAACAGATCTATGAAGTGAAAAGCAGCATTTGTAAGGTGGCTTTTCAGAGCAGAGCTTAGACTAGAGAATAGGGCAGTCCTTACTGTGGGGTTTAAGCCATGCAAAACAATTTAAAATGAGACACACACCCACTACCAAACCCAGTAAAACACCTCCTGCAGCTGGAAATGGGGTTTTGCATGTTACCCCTGCCCTGCTCAGGCCCACAACCCCAAAGGCAGAGCACAAACTCAATCCCATCCCAAGAAAATCCCCTTTACCTCACACATGCAAGGTGGAAAATGATCCTTGCAAGGCATCACTAGAAAGGGAAAGGCAGGCAGTTGTGCCACTCAAGGTATTAACTCTTCCATGCACTCATTAGTAGATCTAAGTGCTGAAATATTTACAGATAATCATGAAATGGTTCAGAAAGTAATTAGGAGACTGGGGGAGAGGGGAGAACCACACAACTGGAAATCGAGTGATTTTTTAATTATGTGTTACCAGAAGTAGGGAAGCAGTGTCATTAGGGGTGCCTTGTGATTGGGTGTGCTGTTCACCGAGACCCTCTGCTGCAAATTAAGCAGCATTATCCTTTAATGGAATATGAACAACACTGAAAACATCAGAATCAACCACTGTAATTAGGCCCTGCTATGCAAATCTCCTTAAAGAGGCAGTGCAGGCTCCAGCAGTCCCCGGGCTGGCTGACAGGGTGCCCGAGGCAGGGGAGCTCAGGAGACCTCGTGGAGCCTCTGAAGATGCCATCACAGCCACACTCCAGACACATCTTAGCTGTGCTTGTGCCTTCATCCTTCACAAGGGAGCCAGGTGGGAAAATAACCAACAGTCACGCCAGGGAGACACGATCCTCCCGCAGCCTCTTTGTGCCAGAGGCTGACACAGGCACAGCAAAGCTTTTAAGGAAGTCTCACTTTGATAGTTTGTCTTTTTTTTTTTTTGCCCTGAAATCAGGGCCTTGTGATAGAAGCCATAGCAGGAGGAGGAAGTCAGCGCTGCCCTGAGGATCTTGCAGGCTAATTAGTTACAGGAGGAGAGTCAGGGCCATGCACAGGGCTGCAGCAGAGCCTGGCAGAAGCCACATTCCCCCTCCAGAGCCTTTCTGCCATGTAGTGCTGCTCCCTCCAAGAGTGCACCACTGCCTGCTTGGCTTCCAGCCTGTCCCCACCAGTGCTTGTGCCACTGTGGCTGTGCATTTCCTCCTTCCCCACCAGTGCTTGTGTCACTGTGGCTGTGCATCCCCACCAGTGCTTGTGTCACCATGGCTGTGCATCCCCTCCTTCCCCACCAGTGCTTGTGCCACTGTGGCTGTGCATCCCCACCATCCCCACCAGTGCTTGTGTCACCATGGCTGTGCATCCCCTCCTTCCCCAGCAGTGCTTGTATCACCATGGCTGTGCATCCCCTCAATCCCCACCAGTGCCTGTGTCACTGTGCCTGTGCATCCCCTCCTTCCCCACCATCCCCACCAGTGCTTGTGTCACTGAGGCTGTGCATCCCCTCCTTCCCCACCAGTGCCTGTGCCACTGAGGCTGTGCATCCCCTCCTTCCCCACCAGTGCCTGTGCCACTGAGGCTGTGCATCCCCTCCTTCCCCACCAGTGCCTGTGCCACTGAGGCTGTGCATCCCCTCCTTCCCCACCAGTGCCTGTGCCACTGAGGCTGTGCATCCCCTCCTTCCCCAGCAGTGCTTGTGTCACCATGGCTGTGCATCCCCTCCTTCCCCACCAGTGCCTGTGCCACTGAGGCTGTGCATCCCCTCCTTCCCCAGCATTACCCAGGGCTGTTCCCTCAGTGAGAGCAGGCTGGGTGGGTAGAGCAGGGGAGCTCTGGCAGTGGGGATGCACAGATATCTGTCAAGGCCAGAGCCTGTGCAGTGCATTCTATGCATGCAGACAGTTGTGCTGTGTTCATCACCGTGGCATCCGAGTGCCCGGGGTCATGCAGTGACTCAGAGCCAGGGATGAGCTCCAGAGCTCCCCTCTCCCAGCTCCAGGAGCAGCTCTGGGCTGGAGGGATCAGCTCCCTGCAGAGTCAGCAGGGCTTCTCTTGGCACTGCCAGCTCCCCCACATCCCATCTATCAGAGAATTTGGGAGGCTCCATTGCCCACCTGCGAGCCCTGGGGTGTGCAGCCCATGGGGTCCTGTGTGTGACTGTCCTACAAAAATGAAATGCAAGCCCTGCCTTTACTGCACTACTTCATCTTGATGCCAGGGAAGCCATTTCACCTTCTCCAGCCCTGCTGGCTCCCGGTCTGCTCAGGACAGGCATTCAGGAGCATGGACACAGCCAACACTGAAATATGTCCTGACTCTCAATGCAGCCCAATGGGAAACCAGGCCAGCTGGTGCCCAACATTTAGACTTTAAGTAGTACAGAAAAATAAACAAAGAACATCAATTCTGCCAATGTTAATAGCTTCAGGCAAGAGGGATACAAAAGTAGGGTATTTCAAATATGGGATAACGTAATCTGTAGATTTGTCCAGAAGAGACAGAACTCTGCATTTGTGGATCCAAGACAGGGCAAAAGAAGTAAACCTGATATTAAAGGCCCATGCTTTTATCTGCGCCTTGCCAGTGGCTACAAAGAACTAGGCTTCCTCCCCTTAAACAAAAAGTTTCTACCTGGGAAGGATTTATAGGCAAGATCACGAGTGAGGGAGTGTGAGAAATTCTGCCACTTTTACCAGTGAATGGCACCCTCACACATCCCTGTTTCTCACCACCACTGCAGAGTTCACCAACATTTTGTCCTGAAAGAAGTAGTTTGATGCCTAAGAATAATGCATTCAGGAAGTTGGGAGGGAAGCAGACAAAAGAGTTATAATAAAACCTGTCCTTTTTCTGCAAGTGATACTTGTCAAATATAAACACAGTCAAGGTAGAGAACAAGTTGTGCTAATCTGCAATATTTTCCCAGCAACCAGTTATTACTTTCCCATTTTATTTTATAATGCATCAAACCCCAGCACCTGCAGTCACGTTGTGAACAGAAATAACTTGGCACAGGTGTAGAGGAATGGTTGTGTTTCCAAGCCTGTGTGTGCCTGCACTCCAGCCAGAGGTGATGGCAGCTTGGACTGGGACATCTCTCCAGAACCCAGCCTGGTTCTGAGCTCACTGAAGACAAAAGCACAAAATCCAGTGAAACAGGGGGGTGATCACTCAGGCAGCTGCCCGGAGCTTAGGTCCAAGCTGTCCCCTCTTCACTCCTACCCAAGGAAGTCAACACCAGAGCAAGCTCGGGTTCCTCTGCATTCAGATCTCCAACTGCAACTCAGACACAGCCAAAGAGACTCCAAACCAGTGGGCAGGAAAGCAGAGCTGCATTTATGGTCCACTGAAGCCACATCATTGTTATGAACTGCAGCCAGGGCTTCAAGGATGTTGGTTCCTGCATTCCTACCCACGTGGACTTGGCCCTGCTGGCAGAGCCGAGGTTTGCAGTGCTGAGGGACAGGGATCAGCCTGAAAATTACCCTTTAGTCTGAGCTACAGGAACAAAGGCATTAACAGGGTGTCAGAAATTTCACAGCTTCCCTGAACAATACCTTCCCACATTTCACTGCACTGAAGGCTTTTCCTAGATATCCAAACCAAATCTTCTCTGCAGTTTAAATGTAGTTTGGTCTCATCATTCCCCCCCCCCTCCACAACAGTGAAAGAATAAATCAATCATCCTTCCTTAACAACAGCTTTTATGTTCTGAGAAACCATGACATCCCCCTCCCTCCCCCACCCATACTGCCTTGTCTAGATTAAATGCACCTGATTTCTTCAACCTCTCCTCAGAGGTCATGTTTTCTAAAGCTCTGACAATTAGTGCTGCTCTCCTCTGGCCTTTTGCCAATTTGTCTACATCTCTATTTTAAAGCCTGGTATCCACAAACCAGCCACTGAAGCAACGACACACTCATGGAGACAAAAGAAAAAGGAACATCTTCTGTATAGAACCCTCCTAAAACCACAGAAACATCTCCAAATCCACTGCAGCCATCCTGGGAGCTGCTCACTCTGTGGAGGAGGTTGGAGATGGCAAAGGGGCAGCTGAGCTCCTGCCATTGGAGTGCATCACATGTGCAGCAGGAGCGAGCACAGCCCTGTCTCTTCTGGACAAGAGGAGAAATTATTCAAGACAGCTTTGTGCATGAGCCTCAGCATTCCCTGCTTGCACCCTGCCTGTGGCATCACCAGTCTCTGAGATCCCTGCAGCAGCAGGAAATCTGCTTTTAGGTCTTCTGCTGAGTAAATAAAGCCAACCAGAGAAAATTAGAGGCTTCAGTTACTAAACCAACATATAGAACAGGTCTGTGCCTTACCCTGCAATGGTAAACAGCCATTGGCATGAGATTCCATCCATGTAAAACCCTGCTATTCACTCCAAACCATCCAGAAGCTGAAAGGCAGCCCCAAACCAGGCAGTCCCAGACAAGGTTGCCCTGTCCTGTGTGGTGGAAGTGTTTCTGCACAGAAGGTTGGTGCAGGCAGGAAGAGGGCCAGGTTTGCTGATGAAGG